AAAAAAAAAAAAAAAAAAAAAAAAAAAAAAAAAAAAAAAAAAAAAAAAAAAAAAAAAAAAAAACATCTACCGAAAATTGTAACATATTACCATAGTTCAACATTATCATAAAACTAAAGACAACTAAATACCGAAAAATAATTTAATTGAAATATGTTTATTGATAAGTGGCCTTAGAGGGTCCTAAATTGTTACAAAAGAATTCTTAATATATTCTATATATTTTTATTTGTCTCGGGTCAACCCGAAGGTTTTGCCCACGAACCCGAAATCGAACCGATTCAATTCGGGTTCAGAAAAATGAATCCAACCCAACCCAACCCTTATAGTTCGGATTGAGTTGATCCGGGTTGTCAGGTTGAATGTACACCCCTACTGACAAGAGATGTATGATGATGATATAATACAATACGATGATATCTCATGTCATGACGATGTGCATGTATGAGATGTCATGTTGCATTATGATAAGGAGTTTTTTGATAAACAACCCCTAAATGATGCTATAAATGATGAATGTATGAGAGTTTATGCATCCATGTTACCCAGAATAATATGTGATAGATGTATGAGATTGTCTCATATAAATGATGTAAGATGAAAACTATAAATTGTAAATTCATTTGCATTAGGTTATTTCTCCTCTTATGATGATGAGTATGAACGTGTACACTATTATGATGATGACAACCATCATACTTGCATGATATTCGAGGGTTTGTTGTACCTCCGAACGTCTGGCTACAACCAACTAGCTCGATTATGCAGGCCCAAAAGGTGTGCGAGCCCACCTGGTGGAACCACATTCGCACGTGTGGGACGAGTGTATAGGAAAATACTACACATCCAAACCCTATTTATCTTGGAAAGGGTGATCGTTACACGTGATTGGCCTATTATAATTTTTTACAACTCCCCAAATCTTCCCCAGTTATGGGTTCTTCGAAAAAAGGAAAAGAGAAAAATAAAATAATTTTCTCCATTATCCACTAATTTATTTTAAACTAAAAGAATAATTAATACTTTTGATATTTTGGTTGTGTAAAAATATTCTTATTTTAAATTACTTTACCGACAAAGACACATTAATTTAGGGTTGGCCGAACATAGTCCCATGTTTATTTGTTTTTATTATATTTAATAAAAACTATATCCTCCAACCAATTAATTAGACCGTTGAAAATATATTTAGTATTATAATAGTCACACAAATTAAAATTTGTACCCATAAAAAAAAAATAATAAAAATAAGATTAATTAATAAAATTATCTATGTCTAAAAAATATCCTTAAATTTTTAAAAGTGACAATAATATCCTTAATATTTCCAAAAAATCTAAAAATACTAATATATAATTTGTTTCAAAAATACCCTTCAGCTTAGCTTTTAACCGTGTTTATACTTTGAATTTTAAAATTTTTTATTAATACCTTTCAATTTAAAAAAAAAAAATTCAAAAATATCTTACCCTCAATATTATACTTAAATACTCATAAAATTCTAAAAAGTAAAATTAACACATTTTAATCGTTATAAAAAATTAATACAGTCAATATATGGACAAAAACTGTCTATCAACCCTTTTTAAATTTTCTGCAAATGCTTTAATATTAATTTGTAAAGTTCATGAGTATTTTTTAAACGTAAATTTTTTTAAAAAAAATTAAGGATATTTTTGAAATTTTTAAAAAAGTTTTTTTTAATATTATTTTTAAAGATGTTTTTGAAGTTTTTTATAAAAAAAATAAAAGGTATTAATGACGGTTTTCAAAAACTCTTTTAAAAATTAAAGGGTATTTTTGGAACGAGGGTATTGTTGAAACTATAATATAGGTAATAATAAAAAATAAAAATAATAAAAATTAAAAAAGATATCTACAAATAAATAAACCAAAATCATTGTCTGAATTATAGTCGACAGAATCAAGGATGCAAATGTCTGAATCATAGAGAAAACAAGTAACAGACAACTAATTAAAACAAACTCAGAGATATGAAATGTTTTACATATACCAGAGGTATATGTCGAATAAGGTGAAGTTTATATTAAATCTAAATGAAAAAGTCTGATTTAAGTTATTGTTGCATAGAACAGTAAAAGATAGTGATTCGTATGAATCGTTTGAGTTTGGATACTCACCTTATCAAAGGTCTTTGATCGTGTTGGGTGTGAATGCTGGCATAGTTGTGGCTGCAGGTACGTTATATGAAGTTGAAGCTTCCCCGTTAAACAGTGGTTGCAAATCTACGATTCAAATCATATCAATTTTAACAAGTATTTAGGCAATGATCCTGAATTTTAAAAATGTAATCACTGTACCGGCAAGCTCAACAAGCCTATATCCAAAGTCATCCTCAGTTAAGTACATTCGTGGACTCTCACCAGCATACTCCAAATTATTTTGCTCAAGAATGTCAAGGCCTTCGTTGAAAGCTTCATCTCCCGCGACATTATTTGCTGACAAATATGCCTGTTTTCATATAACATCGACTTGGTTTAAAGTTCTCTTTTTCCTCATACAGAAATAAAAGTTCAAAGAGAGTGTGTAACCTTTGAGGATGGCTCGAATATGGGATAACTCTGACACTCAAAAGCGTTTGCAACCATCATCATCCATGTTTTCTTTGGAACTTTGGTACCAAGCAACTGCACAAAATGTTATTTGGTTGGTTTTGACCCTAACTCAATCACACCAAAAATGAATAACTCAAATAGAAAGAGATAAGAAAAGGGTTTGGTTTTGATTTTCTTGGGCTACCTTTTTTAGAGCGATTGGACCTATTTCTTGGTATTTCAGCACAAAGGCGCCCACAGTTTTGATGCCACGGGAGGATAAGTTTTTGTGATATGCGCCATCTTTTCCTATCCCTTCCAATCGCCAAACTTCATCTTCTACGCTCGGAGGATGATGTTTCTTGTTCACTGAAATCATGTAAGGAAGAAGAATCATTCATTTAACGGTGCAAAACTATTAAATAGACAGAGCTTACCTTCTCCACGGTGATCCATGGCCCTAAAAGGTTGAGAAACCGCAGCACCAATGGTCGGATACATGGCTAGAATGTTTTCATCAAGAATCATCACTCCCAAACGAAACTTCTTGGATTTCATCCAACTCGAGTTGTCTGTAATACAGACACACTTAATCGAAGCAAAGCCATTCTCCAAAATGAGTTTGATACCATCACCAACCAGTAAAGGCCTTTTCCCTTCTCTTGGGGATAAAATGTTTCGATTCAATTCACTCAAACTACGGTTAGTTTCATCATAATCTCCGTCGAGAAGGACGAGCCCAACTGGAGCCGATGATAGAGGACCCGTGTGGACTATAGCATTGGTTGTGGCATCATAAATTGCAACCCTCACAGCCTCACCATTTTCTGCTTTGATTTCATTGTTGGTGAAGATAGTGTTGGCTGGTTGATTGAAGAAAACTAGCTTGAACTTCTCAATCCCTCCTTCAACAATTGCTTCTTCTCCCATCTCTTTCCTCTCTCTATACGACCCGACCAGACCAAACCAAACCATAGTTTAAAATATATAGTTTTTCGTAACACGAATATGTAACATTACGTCATGTTCTTCAAATAGAGATTAAATTGTCAGACAATAAATTCGATTTATTTAAAACCGAGCACTAAACATCACGTTGGAATTGTGGAATATAGCAGTCATGCATTAAGAAGTTAGTAATCTTGGAGCATTTAGGAAAATAGTTGTACGATTTACAACAAGCAATTTAGTACAAAGAAACTCTCTACTCAAGTTATCGTATTATTTATTTCATTTTGTTCAGATTCAGATATTTGTTTCAGTGTACTTCGAACGAATGTCAAAAGTGAGAATATTTGCTAAAACCATCGCACTTAAATGGTGATGAAAGTTCTCTGTTTATAATCATTTACATAATAGAGAATTATGGTAAATTACAAATGATACGAAAACAACAATAAATGGATAAAACATATTTGCATATGATATCTATGTTAAGCCGTAAGACAAATATCCTTAACAAAACAAACACAATTATCCTACACATAAAATTAAAAACAAAAATCTTATAAACTTATCTAAAATTCACAAACTAAATTATTAATTTCACGAAAATTTAGAGATTAAAAGTTCTTTTTAACGAATCAAATAAAAAGTAGAAGAACGAGAATGAATGGAATTTAAAATACGAACCTCAGTGATTTTAAAAGAGGATGAACGTGAGTTTGAAGTGCATTCTTCACTTCCTTGTATACCTTAAAAACACCGAAGGAATGTCAGAGATGAGTTTCATATTCATGTTTGGATCTTAACAGAAATGTTCTAAACGATAAAAAAACAATACCAAGTTGCTCAAGAGAGGTTGGATTCGAGACATAAGTTCAAACAGGGAACGATCATCTTCAGCTACAGTTCCAGCTTTAGTACTATAAGAAAAAAAAAAAAAAAAAAAAAAAAAT